CAGAATTCCCCAGCCAGCATATGCTGGCTGGGGAATTCTGGGAGTTGAAGTCCACACGTCTCAAAGTTGCCACCCCTGGCCTAGGGCCCACCAGATGTAGTTCCCGAGGCAACAGAATCGATAACATGCCCTCTCTGGCAGATCTGGTAGGACGGGCAGATGCCATCAGGGAGAGGTGGTCCCTCAGATAGTCCAGCCCCCGCTGGCCCCATCGTACAAGACAATCCATCCCAAATCATGCCAGCTGTGAAACAAGCCACTCTGGGCTCAAAAAAAAAAGGCTGTTCTGATCCCGTGGGACCATTTCAAGTTTTCCAGCGGTGCACACTCCTTCCGCAGCTGTGTAAAGCAGCGCTGCTCCCCTTATCGAGAAGGCAGCTATGTGCTTGCCCTGTGAGAATGGGAGGAGAGGGTTACCTTTCCAGACAACAGGTAGAATAAAAATTCAAAGAGGGGAGAATTCAGTTCTCCCCTATTTTTTCCCATTCCAGTTGAGTACTCCAAGAGCTCACAGGCTGGAAACAGCTACTGTTGGGCCCGGACCAATGAATTTTAGCACCCAAAACGTTCACAGCAATCCAGGGAAAAATGGAAAGTCGATTCTGGCTGTTCCTGCTGCTCTTGGCTCCACGGCAAGCCTTGTAAATCCTAGCAAATGCACCGTCAGTGTGCTGTACTTTTTTTTTTTTAAGATTGTAATTGGTGCATGAACTGACAGCCACAGGAGAAGTTATGAAAGAGAGCATAACCTTACTGCATCAGGCCATTAAAAATACGGAAGACTGTGGAAAATATTTCAGAGGACAATAGCAACAGTGCTGGAATTCAGAGCAGTTGTAATAAGGTGCTGTGGTGTAAACCTGTGGTTCAGGAATAAATACCATAAATTCCACAGTGATAAAAATGTCCCAGCGTTCTGATTGCTGGAGGAGAACGAAAACCTATTATTGAGATACTGTTATTCACTTAGGACAAAAGGGAATTACTGCAGCTCGGGAATGCGTTCTTATTTTACAGCAGTGTTTCTCAACCTCGGCAGCTTTCGGACGGGTGGACTCCAACTCCCAGAATTCCCCAGCCAGCCCTGCTGGCTGGGGGATTCTGGGAGGTGGAGGCCCCCCGTCCGAAAGCCGCCGAGGGTGGGGAAGACTGCTTTTGAGAAAAAAGCATGGCGCTACAGC